GCGGGCCGGGGGCCGGGCGCCCTCCCTGCCGCCTGCTCCGCCGCTATGAGCCAGGGAAGCCCGGGGGAGTGGGCTCCCCTCGACCTCACCGCCGGGACCCCCAACCCCTTCGTGCATGAGTTACATCTCTCTCGCCTCCAGAGGGTTAAGGTAAGGTGTGGGCAGGGGCGTCGGGAGAACTCGTGGGGATAGGAAAATGGGGCCGTTTAGGGCCCTGACAGAGATGGAGATCAAGGGAGGAGGTGGGTCAAAGGCTTGCGGAACCGAGTCCCGGGGTGCGCACGTGGGGGCGGCCGGGGGTGGGTGGGGGTCCTGGAGAGGACGCAGGCGTGGGGTCGCCAAGCACGAAGGTGTGGAAGGACTGAGTAGGTCAGGGTGGAGGACTGCAGGGGACCCGGGGGCAGGAGAGATGGAGGACACTGGGGAATGCGGATTACATCCTGCGGAGGCTCCGGAGTGAGGATGGGGTTGGAGGCCACGGAAGCCGGGGGTGGGGGCGAGGGCGTGCTGAGTGCCTCTCCGGGGCTCTGACTTACGGCGGGGGAGAGGTTTCTGGCCCCGGAGCCTAAGTCCCGGTGCCCTTCCCACAGCCCCTCTTCCCCCCTCCCCCCTCCCTGCACTGCAGCACCTCTCGGGTGGGGGCAGGGTGGCTCGGAAGGGGGACGGCCACAGGAAGTGGAGGGCCGCTCCGGCCTGGGGGAACTGGGAGGTAGCGTGGGAAGGGAGTGCCCAAGGCTTCTGCTGTTACCACCTCCCCTGAGGCGGGCTCCAGGGGCTGGGCTTGTTTACCTGCTCTCTCCCCGGGGCAGTGATGGAGTCTACCTAGCTCCCGGCAAGCCCCCCTCTGCGGAGTAGGGCCGACTTCTTCGCTCCCTCATTCCCCCAAACCAAAACCAAAACTAAAACCAAACCCACTGCCTTCGAGTCGATTCCGACTCAAAGCGACCCTGTAGGACAAAGTAGACCTGCCCCAGAGGGGTTTCCAAGGAGTGGCTGGTGGATTTGAACTGCCGACCTTTTGGTTAGCAGCCATAGCACTTAACCACTGCGCCACCAGGATTTCCCTCATTCCCTCAGTACTAGGGAATTGCTCCTGGGCAGAACTGGAGATTGGCCTGCGGCCTGCAAAGTGGACCTCTCTCTATGTCCCATCCCTCTGCCTCCCGAGTCCCAGCTGGAGAGAACTATGCACCGGGTTTCTGTTGGACATCTGAGCTATTTATGGAATGGGATGTGGGGGAGGAGGAACTGTCTCCAGCCTCCTCTGCGTCGAGCACTGTGCTGGGCGATTTCTCGTGTTATCTCATTGAATCTTCTTCCAAGTGCTAGATGCATTTTGTGACATGGGTTTTTTTAGGTGGGGTGGGGACCACCTGAGAGCCTGGAAAATGAGGTCGCTGGTCCAATTGATCTTTTTATCCTTTTGCTGTTATTGGTGGCTATCCCACATGGGATCCCAATCCCCTGTCCTGGTCCCACACCACGTATGTCCTGATCTACAAGGGTGCTGGCTTTCTGCTCCTGGGTCCGTCCTGTGGGAGAGGAGGGGCTGTGTGGGAGCATGTCCCAGCCCTGAAGTGGCATTTTCTCTCTGCAGTTCTGCCTCCTGGGGGCGCTACTGGCCCCCATCCGAGTGCTTCTGGCCTTTATTGTCCTCTTTCTCCTCTGGCCCTTCGCCTGGCTGCAAGTGGTGGGTCTTACCGATGAGCAGCTACAGGAGCCAGTTACAGGATGGAGGAAGTAAGTGGGGGTCAGCCCCTGAGACCCTACCTCACACTCCTTTCCCTGCTATCCAGTCTGCCCGTCTTTGAGAAGACGGGGAGGGAAGGTTCTGATGCTCTCCTACCCAACCTGCGTAGGTGAAATGAGTCAGGCTCAGACCTGGCACCCAGCACCTGAACTGTGTTCCACAGTAGCCAGACTTCAGCCCCTTGACAAGAGTATTTGAGGGCAGGAGAAGGGCACTCTGCCTTCCCAGGTGCCTGAGCCGAGTGGGTGGGTGAGGGCTGGAGCTGCGGCCTCCACTGATCCCCAGCCTTGCACTGGCAGGAGTGTGTGCCACAGTGGGGTGCTGGGCCTCGGCCGCCTGCTCTTTTTCCTACTGGGCTTCCTCCGGATTCGAGTTCGGGGCCAGCGGGCCTCTCGCCTTCAAGCTCCTGTTCTCGTTGCTGCCCCCCACTCCACTTTCTTTGACCCCATTGTTCTGCTGCCCTGTGACCTGCCCAAGGTTGTGTCCCGAGCTGAGAACCTTTCCGTGCCTGTCATTGGAGGTGAGAGAGCACAACAGGAGTGAAGGGGAAGGGGTGACAGCTCTGGGCAAAAAAGGTCAGGAACTGGGGCCACTAGGGAGAGAAGGACTGGCGTCAGGTGGGGGGAGGAAGAGGTTAGAAAGGACATTGGCTGATGCTGGCAAATGAAATACAAATCAGCACCGTTTGTGCACAAGTCTCTTGGACTCTGAGGCTTAGAGAAGTCTTTCCTTGGAGAGAGCTCTGGGCAGCTCCCTAAAAGGACAGCATACAATAAAGGGGTTGTTCCCAGGGCAAAGAGATAACAAGACAGCTCAGGCTGCGGAGGAGGAGAAGGCTGGGTGTGTCCATGCCCCAGGTGAGAAGGCTGGGTGTGCTCATGCCCCAGGTGGGACCCCAGTGACCCCTCCTGTGTTGTCCCCCAACCCCAGCCCTCCTTCGCTTCAACCAAGCCATCTTTGTCTCCCGGCACGACCCGGCTTCTCGGCGTGAAGTGGTGGAGGAGGTCCGAAGGCGGGCAACCTCAGGAGGCAAGTGGCCCCAGGTGAGTAAGGGTCTTCAGACCCCCCCCTCACGTCCCATGTGCTCCTGTAGAGGTTCTCTTCACCCTCCTCCCCTTCAGCCTACCCCGGTCAGCCTGGTTTCTTTTTCATCTTCTTTCCCCAGGTGCTGTTCTTTCCTGAGGGCACCTGTTCCAATAAGAAGGCTTTGCTTAAGTTCAAACCAGGTGAATAAAATGATAATGGGGGATACCCATTAACCGCTGCCGTGGAGTTGATTCCGACCCTTAGTGACCCTATAGGACAGAGTAGAACTGCCCCCTAGAGTTTGCAAGGAGTGCCTGGTGGATTCAAACTGCCGACCTTTTGGTTAGCAGCCATAGCCCTTAACCACTACGCCACCAGGGTTTCCAGTGGGTGATAAGGCTGTAGAAAAAAGGAGCACCAGATTTGGGGAGGGATTCTGGAATAACCCAAGATCAGGGGGAGGCAGATAGGGAGCCTCCAAGCTGACACTGAAAGTCAAGGAGTCAGAAAATTGTAAATGACGTGGAGCAAGGCCAGAGCAGGATGTTCATTGAGAGCTGTCCGAGACCCCTACACTTCATCCCCTCCAGCTGCCACCGTGCACTAACCTCTGCCTGGGGGGTGGGGGTGGAAATGGGATCTAGGAGCCTTCATTGCTGGGGTGCCTGTGCAGCCTGTCCTCATCCGCTACCCCAACAGTGTGGTGAGTCTTAGTCCAGGGAGGGTGGAAGGGGAGGCTTGACTCTGCCCTAAATGGGAACGAGTGACAGCTATCTATGGGATGTGCACGTGGGGGGGGGGGGCCCAGGCCTTCTGCTTAAAGAGGATGGCAAGTTCCAGGGAAGAAAAGTAATACTTTTCTCCCCTCCCTCCCCCTTCTCCCATAGGACACCACCAGCTGGGCATGGAGGGGCCCTGGAGTGTGAGTTGTGGTGTCCCTGGGGTGAGGGTGGGGAGCAGGGTCCATCAGAGAATTCCGGGCCCATCTTCCAATCTGCAGACAAGGTGAATGGCCCTTCTTCATTCTAGGAAGTGAGAGAACGCTAGACAAGGGGGTGCCCACTTCCATCTGTTTTGTTCTGATCTCTCAATGTAACCTGGAAGTGCTTTCAGCTATCCCACCTAAATCATTCCTGCTGTAATTAAAGCTTATTTTAACTTACTTTCCTGGGTTCCTAGTGATTTTCTTCTTTAGTTGTCTGTCCCTTCTTGAGAACCGCCACCACCAGGCATGCCTCTTGCCCTCCCCCCGCCCCCGACACAGACCTCTTCCCTGCAGCTCTTCTCTCATCCTCCACCACCGTTGTGGTCCTTCCCTCTCTCCCACCTGCACATTCAGCCAGCTGTGTCTGGGAGTCTCTCTTATATGGATGGGCAGAGCTTTCCCAGTCCCTTCCTGGAGGTGGGAGGGGCCCACAGTAAGGCAGTTGGGATTGGTGAGCATTCCAGGTCTCTCTTCTCTTAGACTCAAAGTCCTCTGGCTCACAGCCTCTCAGCCCTGCAGCATCGTGGATGTGGAGGTATGATGCCGTGGGTGGGGTGGGAGAATGGACCTCCACGGACCCCTGAAGCCTTGGGAACAAAGGGTGGGAGTGGTCGCCCCAACTTTGAATTGCTCGGAATTGCGTGTGTGTTTCAGTTCCTCCCTGTGTACCACCCCAGCCCTGAGGAGAGCAGGGACCCCAGCCTCTATGCCAACAATGTCCAGAGGGTCATGGCACAGTGAGTGTCCCACAGATGATTGCCTGGAGCAAAAGGCACACAGGTCAAAGGGACCCAAAGGGACTGTGAGGGGAGGGTGGAGAGCCAGGCAAAGACAGGAGGGGTGGCAGTGGGAGGGGCTGCTGGGGAGCCAAAACCGAGGGGGGACAGTTAAAGGGGACCTCATCTATGCTCCCTAACCAGCAGGCCAGAGTCAGCAGTGAACTTTCACAAGATTCTTCTGCCTCCTTCCCCATCCATTCCATCCCTCCTCATCCTGTAGGGCCCTGGGCATTCCAGCCACCGAATGTGAGGTTGTAGGAAACTTGCCTGTGATTGTGATGGGCCGGCTGAAGGTGGCGCTGGAGCCACGGCTCTGGGAACTGGGGAAGGTGCTTCTGAAGGCTGGGTAAGTGGCCTTGAAGATGAGGATATGGGCAGAGCCGTGTATAGAGAAAAAAAGGGGGGGGGGGTAGGAAGGAGGAAGGAATGTCTCCAAAAGAAGAAGGAAGATAGAGGAATTTTTTCAAAGATAGTGGAGTAAAAGGAAGAAGAAAAAAGGAAGGGAAAGATATGACACAAGTAAGGGAGAGGCTCTCAAGGGACTATGAGTCAGCTACGTCTTAGGAAGCGGGAGCTGCACCGTAGGAACTCTTGGGGCTGGAGCCCCGGTCCTGCTGGACGGCGTGTACAGAACGCAACTCAGTCTGCTCTCTGCCTTCCACAATTCCCTTGTAGGCTGTCCCCCAGCTGTGTGGATGCCGGGGCAGAGCCAGGGCGGAGTCGAATGATCAGTCAGGACGAGTTTGCCAGGCAGCTACAGCTCTCTGATCCTCAGACGGTGGCTGGTGCCTTTAGCTACTTCCATCAGGTAAGGGAGCTGGAACACGCAGGACAGAACCCAGGGGCTCGATCTCCAGGCTGACATGCTCAGGGCGTAAGGACGGTATCCGAGCGGCCATATCAGTCACCGTGGATGGCCAGTTTTGAATCTGCACTAGGTATTCTAACAGCCAGTGTCAGATGGCCAACTTCTGAGGCCCACTGGGATATTCGTTTTTTATGGAACATTCAGTGCATTGAAGAGCAATGTTTTGTTTTTGTTTTCCTTGTGCTTAAGTGAAAATTTAGAGCTCAAGTTAGTTTCTCATACAAAAACTTACACATACATTGTTATGTGACCCCAGCTGCTATCCCTATGTCAGCACACTCCTCCTTTCCACCCTATTTCCCGTGTCCATTTCAGCCAGCTCCTGTCCCTTTCTGCCTTCTGATCTCGCTTCCGGACGGGAGCTGCCCAGTTAGTCTCATGCATCTACTTGAACCAAGAAGCACACTCTTCACGACTATCATTTTACGTCTCATAGTGCAGTCTAATCTTTGTCAGGAGAGTTGGCTTTGGGAGTGGGTTTAGTTTTGGGTTAACAGAGAGTCCAGGGGCCATGTCTTCTGGGGTTCCTCCAGTCTCAGTCAGACCATTAAGTCTGGTCTTTGTACTAGAATTTGAGTACTGCACCCCACTTTTCTCCTGCTCCATCAGGGACTTTTTTTGTATTCCCTGTCAGGGTGGTCATTGGTGGTAGCCAGGCACCATCTAGTTCTTCTGGTCTCAGGCCAATGGAGACTCCGGTTTATGTGGCCCTTCCTGTGTCTTGGGCTAATATTTTCCTTATGTCTTTGCTGTTATTCATTCTGTTTTGCTCCAGGTAGATTGGGACCAATTGATGCATCTTAGGTGGCCACTTCCTAGCTTTTAACACCCCAGATGCCACTCACCAAAGTGGGATGCAGGACATATTCTTAATAACCTTTGTTATGCCAGTTGACCTAGATGTCCCCAGAAACCATGGTTCCCAGACCTCTGCCCCTGCTGCTCTGTCCCTTGAAGTGTTTGGTTGTATTCAGGATACTTCTTTGCTTTGGTTTAGTCCAGTTGTTGAAGAGCAATGTTTTGGTCATTGTTGCATGGGGGCAGGGGGTACAAGAGAGAAAAAATTGATCAAGGAGGTCCATAAATTTCTGAAGCCATTTAGAGATTGGCAGAGGTGGGGGATCATATGACCTTGTGAGGAGGGTCTTTGAAGGATGGTCATGAAGGTTAGGTGGGAAGGTGACGCATGGAGGAAAAAACACTGGACAAGTTAGACGGTTAAGACCTGGAAGTATTTGTAATACTAGGGCAGAGTTTTTAAATGTCTCATAGCTTCCCTAAGGGATTCCTGAAGTTTCTCAAAAAATCTTGGCAAACCATCTCTTTCCAGGAACTTTAACTAGGTTTTCTTGTAGACTTATAATAATCCTAAAAGAATCTTAATGTTTTTGAATGACTGACAGTGGTCCTCAGCAGCTCTGTGTGCTCTAAGATGCAGAGCCTGGCTCTCAGGTGTGGTGATTCCTTAGAATGGGGCAGACGGATCCTTTCTCCATTGAGCATGCAGCAGAGCAGAACCACAACCCGACATGTGGCACTCCCCCACAGAGCAGGCACAGTAGGCATTCTCTGTGTTTTGTCAGAAGTTGTCAGTGGTCCCCTTTCCGCCAGTTGGAACAGATCTCCCACACGGCTGAGCATAAGCAAGGAGGGAATCAGTTTGCCCAGCTTGGGGGCAGGGGTGCCCTCTGCTGGAAATGTGAGACATTGGTAGTAACTTTAGCATTCCTGGGACATTCCCTAGCAGTCCTAGGAGATACCTTTATGGGAGAGCTTTGTCAACAGATGACTCTGGGGTATAGCCTGAGCAGGCCCGTGGCCTTAGAGAAGCATTGGGGGTTCTGGGGAGTTTGAGGGTAACCATTCACAGGAGAGCAGTCACGGGTCATCCTCATGCCTGTTGAGAAGAGGGGAGAGCCAGAATCTGCAGAGCATCCCACATTACCCTGGTTTCTCTTTCACCCTCCAGGACACCAAGGGTTCGGTGGACTTCCGAGATGTGGCCCTTGCACTGGCAGCTCTGGATGGGGGCAGGAGCCTGGAGGAGCTGATGTGCCTGGCCTTTGAGGTACCAGGACGTGGGGTGAGGGTGCGTGGTGGGTGTGCTCACCCTCCCGGAGGGCTGTGTGGTATGCTGCTCCCAGTAACCTGTGGGTAGGAGGGGCGTGGTGTCCTGCACCGTGCCAGCCACACTGTCTAAAGCTGCAGAGCCCCCGGGTCTCTATGTTGAGCCTTAGCTGGGAATAGCGGAGAGTAGCACCTGGGACGTTTAGAATTCTCCTGCAGAAAGGGCCCGGGGGGGTCAGGGAAGGCCCTTGGGCTGCACTGTTGGAAGAGAGGTGCAGTGAGAGACGGGAGGGGCGGTGTGTGAGGGGAGGGGCAGTGCGTGGCTGGGATGGTGCCTGAGGGGTGACAGTGCGTGAGGGGAGGGGGCAGTGCGTGGGGGGGCGATGCGGG